ATTATTTGTTCTAATAGATATTTCAATCAATTGTATTCTCCATCATATAAGTCTATTTATATTTTATAGATAGAATCTTTAAAACGTTAAAATTGTTAATATGTATATACAGAAAATTATGGCAGTGGGCTTCTATTAATTTTATTTAGCTTATTTCTTACTTCTCTATGAGTTAAATAAGCATAGGCATAATTAATACTTCTAAAAATCAAGGAGTCTACATATGAAATTAATGAATTATTTATCCCACGAAACGTATAGGTATAGGTCATACATAAGCAGTAAACATTGCACGATTCCATGACAACCATTAAGAGGGAATCTCTAGTATTGTGAATTGATAATTATAAAAATCAAATTCATCAAATTAATTTATATTCATGCAGGAACTTTATGATTGCTCCTAACGATTTTTCTCGCTAAAGAAAGAGCGCTTAACTTTACATAAAACTTTAAGCAAATAATATACTCTTCTCATTCTTTGGTCTTAATTTATCTGTCTTTATTAATATAAGTAACTATTAAATAATATATAAAATTTACTCAAACTATTGACACATTTCTAGCTTAATTTTCATAAATATAAGTAAATTGATTGTAAAATGACTCCAAAATCCATATATGTGTTGATAATAAATTTTTGAGTGATAGTTTTTAAAAGCAAAGCTATAAAATCCGGTTATTCAGACAGATTTTATTAGAATGCATAAAATACCTAAGTTTTGGGATTTTATTCTAATCCCTCATATTAAAAAAGTAAAAGTATCATAAAGTCAATAATAAAAATTAGGGTCTCTCTTGCGCTTCTAAGAGACGAAAATGCATTTTTGCTAACATTTTTAAGTGATAGTTAGTTGCATATTTAACATTACTTTGCTTAATTTAATACTTAAACTGTAGGAAAACATTTGTCATATTCCCTGCAAGTAAGTTTGTGCAAAAATTTACTGTCCAGTATAGTACATACATTTTGGCTTAAAATAGATCCGCACTACTTATTTTATTAACATATAGGAAATGTTTCTATATTCAACCTCATTAGTTGTTCATGCACTCGAAATATGGGAGCTAGGCTATTTGTCGGTGTTTCCCAGTAAAAAAATAATTGAGAACATAATGGTTAAAATCCATTTTCTCCACGAGCATTTAAGTCATAGATAACGCAAAAAAAATACAATTCCAATTTAGTCTTTATTTTTCTTTGCATATAATTTCTTCTGAATTATATTAGTAAAGTCTAGACTTTTTTTTCATAAAAGGCACAGCTTAGTAATTTAATCTGTCCCTAATGACTATGCTTCGAGGGAATCATAAGTAGGATAAAGCTAAAGCTTCTTCATTATATAATTATTTTGGTTTACTTTAAAGCATAGAGACAATTAAAATTGATTTGAATTCATCTATTGCTCTGTGTTGAATTGAGTAATTCCATGTATCTATTTTTAAACTAATTCTAGATAAAAAAACCATTGGCTATATGATGTAGACTATGGGCATATGTGAAAACCTACAAATTTATAGGAAGCATATTAAAGCAGTATTTTTAGTTCTCTATTACTTTCTATAAAAATTATCCATGTTTTTCCTAAATAGGGAGATACCTTTCGGGCGCGAAGTATTACCAACTTGGTCCCTATCAAGTCGAATTTATCTCCAGTCTATCAAGATGTTTTTTGCAAAATCGACCAGCTCTCTCCAAATCGAGTGCCACATACTACTGCCGCGATTGATTTTCGGCTGAGCCAAGAGAAGCCTGGCTTAAACAATCTCCGGCCATCTGGTTGGATTCAAACTCAACAATATGAATCTTGCGCCTGGCATGACCCACTTGATTTGCATTTATTTCGACATTCAATTCAGGCAGGATCAGATGATATTACCGATGCCACAGCCTGCTCTGTAGTAAACTCTGCATCTACAACACTGTCGCCAAACAAATCGAGCTACAGTCGACAAAGTATCGAGTGCAGACTGAGTAGCTCCTCGGGTCATGCCCCACACAGATTAAGTAGTTCTATTTTTCCTCCAGTCGCTCCATTTAATGATCAGAGCATACACAGTTGTGTTTGTAGAATCTCTCCAGCTTCTTGTGATACCCAATTGGAGAAGGATTACTCTTTGGTTAGCTCAGCGCTTAACTACAAATCATCAAATTCAGGTGCTATTCCGAAACAACCGGAAAAGGAGGGGGAGTCAGTGACAGTGGACATTCTGAATAAAGCTCCTGGACTTCCTCAACGAAGGTGCCAAAGTGGTGGGAAGCAAGAAACTCTCAATGTTGATAGCCACTTAAACGCAAACCTTGGACTGGATATCCAAAGTCGAAGGCAGGAGTATCTAAAAGATATGATGAATCAACAGGGAAATGATAAGGAAAGAAAAGCGACTATCTCGAGTTGTAACTTAGAGCAAGGTCAAGAGGATAATTTGATCAACGTTCAGCTTTTGGGGGCTCAAGGAGTGGGAAAAACGACGCTCTGTCATCAAATAATTACCTCTGAATTCCTGGGAGCAAAAACAGACTCATGTAAGTAATCAATTAATGAATTCCATCAAAATTTGTAGCAAAATTAATTTAGTTTTATTTTCTATGTTAATTTTGAAATTTAAAAAATAAAATAAACTTTATTGAATACGTATTATATTTAAATTAGAACTTTAGCTAATGTAGGTTGCTTACTATTAGTAGGCCTCAAAATATCATTAAATTTCATATAGCTTTGTTGCCCAGAGTGTATTTCAGTCTTAATCTCGCCTGGGTCTCAGAAACACCCCTAATGAGAAACGAGTTCGGGTAGTGTAACAATTATTTTCTATCTGCTGGTGCAACGCTAAGCAGCAGACGACTTTCACGGCAGTCCGAGTCTCTACGGTTTCAAATTTTTAAAGATGGCTTCTTGATGAAATATCATGAAAAGTAAGAACATATTTGCTCATAAGACTTACTTAAACTATCATGGGAAAATTAAGTATCAGTCTTTTATCACCATACACGACCTAGGGCGACTGTATTCGCTATTCAGGAGCTACTAAATATATTGAAGATCTATTCAATATTAATGTATTATTTTGCTCCTAGATGGCTGGCATAGGGAATTATAATTTTATATTTGCTGAATTCCAACTTGGCTCTGATACAAGTGAATCACTTCTAGTAAATAGGAATAAATTTCATGATCAATAAATTATCTTCAGATATACTTGCAAACTTATTCTTAAAAATCACACATCAACATCACCAAATAAAGAAATATCCCTAAGTCTATTTTAAACAATGTATAAAAGTATTTTATTGTCTAGGCTATGGTAGTCTTAACAAGAACCTAGATATTCAGAATTTATTTCTAGACCAAAGGTAAATTCAGAATTTTGCATAATTTGTTATTACATTAATGTGAGTGTATATTTATATTGTTCCCACACAACGGCGTATGTAAAGAGAGAGGTCTCAATCCTCATTCATACTTTAGATGAAGTCTAAGCAAGCCATAGCACTCGTTTTTACATAGAAGTTATAAAATATAATGATCCATAACTCATATAAATCTCCCAGGGAAGCTTCAAGCATGTTGATCATAATAAAATAAAAGCATATTTGATAGTATTTCTTTGCTAGTGGAGCAAACATGTTTTATTATTTCTTCATGCTAGAGAGAGTCTAAATGCATTGCCAACTACTGAATTCAGTTCTTCTTCTCTCAGCTTTATTCTTAAATAAGTTGAGAAGGAGGATCATCATATTCTCACCTATAATGAAACAAATATCTTTCAACATTAGACTTGAATTTTCGTTGTGATAAATCAATGTACGAATACTTAATCCAATTAATTTTTTCTCAAATATTCGAGCCTTACCTTAATGTCTTTGAATTCTTTTCATTAAACACATATGTGTTATAATCTATTTTGTAAAATGCACTAATCATTTTTTTTAAAGCTGATAGCTTTTTAAAAAGTTCATTTTTTTATTTGTACAAGCCCACTTAGCCCACTTG